ATTCTTCTTCTTCTTCTTCTTCTTCTTCTTCTTCTTCTTCTTCTTCTTCTTCTTCTTCTTCTTCTTCTTCTTCTTCTTCTTCTTCTTCTTGCTGATGCAAAATCGTGCAACCTCCACGAAGAACTAGCTCTCAACCCATCTCATCCTCTTTCTTCCTAAAACAGAAAAATTGTACGTTTTTGATCCCCATTCATACTTTAAATTACGTGTCCCAATGTAATCCTCTTTTCCTTTCCGTGTGTTATAGAATCCTTTTCTTTCCTGTTCTCATTACCTACCATAACACAACGCCTACACCCCCCCCCCCCCCATTTCCTCTCTCGTCCATCATCATTATCAGCTTCCTAAAGCAAGACGGATTTTCTCCCTAAAATTAGCCCATTACTCATAGAACACTCTAGACCACTCGGCACATGAAAACCTGGGCACCCAAAGGATTAGTACGTGGGCAAAATCGACCCCACTCTCATCTCGTATTCTGTTGCTTTTTTTTTCGGCTTGTGTTGTATAAAGATGTCGCGCTGTGGAATCAATGTGAAAAAACAGCAACAGTGGTCGTAAATTGGGCTTATTTTTGGCCGGGTTGCTTTTTGTACGAGGAGGGAGTGATGTTCCTGGAACAGCCTGTAGTGACGTGAATAAAAGACAGTAAATCGCCCCCTCACAAAAAAAGCGTTCTCGACAAAAATTTTCACGTGCAATATTACGGATTTGCCACAGACACTACAAAACATATTTTGTTTCGTGTCTTTAAAGATTTTTTTTTCTCATAACTGTCTTGCTCCTATTTTTTTTTTGCCAGCATGATACGTCACTCCCCAAAATCAATAACAAACGTTCTAATAAATTGTATAAAAGAAGAGGTCGCCATTGCAAGGATTTCTGACGAGGGTTTTTAGTATTGAATCTCATTTATTAAAAATATTTAACCAACTTGTTATTTATACCCGTATCAGTGGTGTAGCGGTTAGTTGCTTCGTTGTCGCACGAAGAAGACCAGAGTTTGATTCCAATGTGGGCAGAATTTGTATCGACGATCTCGGTCTTTTAGCTCGGATGCTGACTCCGGTGTCCGCCTGAATTAACCGTTACAGGCAGAGTCGAAGCCCGCCTCTCTAGGCTCTAAATAAACTAATTTTCGAACACCCTCACCACCCCCCACCCCCCGTCTTCTTGCTTCTCCTCCTCCTCCTTCTCCAGCACCACCACCTCCTCTTCCTTCTTCTTTTTCTCTTTCCTCTTCTTTTTCTTTTACTACTTTTCGTTTTATTCAGTTGTTGTGCACAATCTCAAAGGGAAACCGCAATGCACAATTACGATATTCTATAAATATAT